CAGGGATGTGACTGGCACAAGGCTCCCAGCGGAAAAGACAGGCCCCCCTGAGTCCAGTTCATTGCTCTATCCACTAGGCAACACTGCCTTGCTTTGCTTTTGATATGCTAGTGCCGTACAGATAGCAAGTCTGCGGAGAGTCATTGCAGCGCCCTCCTAACTCCTTGTAGAGAAATGAGGCGAGGCGGCAGACTCCTGTGTGCACATGACAGGGTGCGTGCGTGGGCGCGATATGTCGGCACTTGTTTCAGTGCTGACAATACATTTATTTTTGTGTTTGTTCCTGGAAAAGCAAGTGTGAGTAGGGTCCTGGTAAGCAGTCAGGTGGAGAGTTCCTCATCAAGTACTTAGTGCCAAAGGTCTTGTCATTTTCTTTAGTAACGACTGTGATTTCTTCCTGCTAGATAAGCAGCTCCCAGGTCTGCCAGTGCGGAAAGGGGAGAGCTGTGGGTAGCTGCAGGGGGAGGTATTGTCTCTGGGAATAATGGAGCGCAGGGTTCCTTTCCCCGGCTGGGGAGCTGAGGATGGGTAAAAGGTACATGCTCAGAGCCAGTTTCCTTTGTCTGTCACATTGCAGCGATGCAAAGTCACTGCCGGCGCTGGCCCAGCCAGGTCTTGCTGCCGACTCGCTCTGGTGTCACTTGGAGGTGGTGTAGCACTCTTGGGCGGACTGCTCTTTGCGGGTTCGTTTGAGTTCGCTCTCTGCCACGTGGCTCTGCCCCCAGCTGCGCGGCGCAGGAGCGACGGGCTCTGTGCCGCCTCTGCAGCTCGCACTGCCATGGCTGGTGGTTGTTTTTTAAACACAGTCAGAGAAGCTGTTGGCAGACCAAAGGGAGGGGTAAATAATTGCACACAAAGCGCTTTGTTGGGTATCTAGCCGCTGCTGCCGGAGCTCCAAGCCGAGGTGTGAAGCAAGCCTGTTCCCTCCGCGCGCGCCCTGCCTTGAGGCTGGAGGACCTAGCCACAGCTGTCTGGCTTTGGCACTAGGTGGGGTGGGCTGTGGAAACTCGGCTAACGTGACTGTGCTCACTGGACACCCCTGTTTCTGCTCGCAAGGACCTGTGACTCTTACCGCTGAAGGCCGGTCTCTGTTGGTCACATGGCACAGGCACACACCTAGTCAGGTGGGAATCTCAAACTTCTTCATGTCCTTTGGCCGCTTTCTTTCCTACTCTTGGGGCTCTGGTGTCAAGTGGCGAGGGAGCCAGGCTGCCCGGGGCTGTGAGGGTAAATGCCACCTGAGGCACAGAGCTCCAGCAATGCCGAATATTCTGAGCTGTTGTATGTCCCTGAAGGCAGCGCCGGTAGAAAAGGAGCTACTCTCAGCCACCGTGCGCTCCCGTGGATCGTTGCTACTATTAAGTACCCTGACCTAGGGTTCAGTTGCCCCCGTCACAGACTGCCTTGTTGACCTTGGGCAAGTCACTTAATCCTCAGGTGCCTCCATGGGTCATAAATTAAATTACATTAGTGCATAGTGCGGTAGTAGCATTGCCCTGCTCACAGGTGTGGATGAGGACACATCCAATAAAGACTGGGAGGTGCTCAGAGCGCAGTGCCAGGAGTCAGTCAGGAGCCGCGTCTCGTGCTAGGCGCTGTACAAACGTAAGAGATGCTGGCTCTGCTCCAAAGAGCTTTATGGGCCATTATTCTCGCTAGGAGCATCCAGGCTGAATAGCGGCAGGCTCCCAGTTGCAATCTCCCTCCGGTAACCCTTGTTTTCTTCCCAGATTGCTGCTCCCTCTTTGCCCTCCCCCGGCCAAAACTACCCAAGTCCAGAAATGTGCCAGAGTTGCACAGCTTGTTTGGCTCCCCCGGCAGACTGGAGGGCAGGGAGCCGAGCCCCGGAGTTCTGTGTCATGTCTATTGCACTCCTGTGTACTTTGGCCGGTGGTGCTCACCGTCTCCGGGCTTTGGGGACAAGCCTCAGCACTGGCTGAAAGCGGGGCGGGAGGGGCGACAACAGCCAGGAGAAGGGTGTCCGGGCATTGTCCTCTCTGCGCAAACTGCACACGAGCAGATTCTGCTGCACAGCCGGGAGGAGAGTCGAGCAGCTGCCTCGAGCCGGGGCGTTTAAAAATAGACGCTGCGACGGTATTAATTGGAGCCTGTTGTCTGCTGCTCATGGGCTCCTCGGGGAGTCCCAGCTAATTGCCACGTAAAGGCGATGAGTTTATTCTGTCTAATGAAATTAACGAAAAGTACAATAACCGTTGGTATATAAATACGGCACGACGCGGGCTGTGCATGGGCAGTGCGTTCTGGATTTCCTAACTCGTAATGCTGCGCTAGCAAGGCTGCTGTTCTTGGATTCATCCCCTCCCCCCAACAGTCTGATCCGCGAATACTTCCAAACAAACCATCCTGGTTTGGAGAGACTTCGGTCCGCCTGTTGGGAAGGTGGGAGCAAAGCTGAAATGAAGTGAATCTCGCCTGCCTGCGCTGAATGAGCAGGGCCAGGATGCTCATTCCTTCCCCTCCGTACTGGGGCTGCCAGGGGGGAGATGAACATGTTTTTTCTTCATCCCCTCCCCGTCTCGCTTCTTGCGGGCCTTGGGGTGCTGCCGTCCCTGAGTGCTGGCAGCGCGGTGAGAATTCCCCATCTGTTCCCTTCTCGATGCCTCAAGTCAGCACGTCCGACGCATTTCCCTCCCCGGCGGCCTTGGAAACACCACCAAGCCTGTGAGAATGCAGCTGGACTCTCCTCTAATAAACGGTCCAACTCTGGCCTGTGAGCCCTGTGCAGTGTCACTGCCTCCCTTTGCTGGGCGTCGGTGGGACCAGGATGAAGACCACAGTGGCTCCTGCTTAAAGGGGATCAGTCAAGCTAGAGGGAGGGACTAGTGGAGTTCCTCGGGGATCCGTCTTAATTAAGTTTCATTAACAACCTTGGTGCGAAAAAGGTCCCAGCGCTAGTACGACCTGGGGTTATGCACAGCTGGAAGCGGTGTGGGTATAGAGGAGGGCCGGGCTGGCTCCCAAGAGCCGCAGATCCTGGAATAGCGGAGAGGCGATGACCTGGAATAGTGCCCGGGCATACGCTAGGAACTGGGTACTATCACTTGGCCGTGGCGGATGGGGTCAAAGACCTCAGTGTGCTGGTTGATCGGGGCCAATACGACACAAGAACCAATAGCTGTGACGTAGGACCGGCCGTTAACGATTTCAGGCGTGCACTCAGAGGGAAGTGTCGAGCCATCGTGGAGGGTGCAGCTCTAGAACAGCCTCCCCTGGGGCAGCGGGGACAAAACCCGAGCTTGTTTTCAGCTGCAGCTTGCTGAGTAGATGGAGAGGTGGCAGGAGGAGATGGGTGACTGCCATGGCAGGCAGGCTGCAGCTCCTAATAGCAAGTAGCCACGAGGGCGGAGTCGCTCCGGAACGCACGTCCCAGGGTCTGGCTGCTGGCTCTGCTGACGTGCTCAGGGTCTAACTGATCACCGTTTTTGGGGCTGGGAAGGAATTTTCCTCCGAGTCGGATGGACAGGGAGTGTGGGGATGGGAGTTTCACCTTCCTGTGCAGCATGGGTCACTTGCTGGTTGAAACTAGAGCAAACAGTAGCTTTTCTGTATCTCCAAGTATTGAAATCAGGGTTTGAGGCCTTCAGGAACTGGGGGTGTGGTACAGGATTGGGCAGGTGAGTTCTGGTCGTGCCATATGCAGGAGGCCAGACCAGATGGTCACGATGGCCTCTCCTGGCCTTCAAGCCTGAGTCTGTAGCCAACAATTGCTTCCTGTCCCAGCTCCAACTTGCTCCTCACAACTGCATTGGCTCAGCCAAGGTACGAGGAGCAGTCAGCCCTGGCTCTGGGCTTTCCAGGGAGCAGGCCTTTGGAAGCCATTTCTCACAGTCGCTGTGTGAGGTGAGCCAGCATTTGCTGACCTGAACATGCGCCTGCCCAGCCAGCAGGGACCGACCGAGGGGTGAATGGAGGCGAGGCCTGGTGAGGCTGAGGCTGTCTAGAGGCACTGGGCGTGGCTGTGTGGGGGCACGCTGGCCGCCCTTGGGTGCTTTTAGGCTGCAGGCGCTGAACTGCAGCCAGGCTGGGAGAGGCCTTAGGTTTCGTTTAAGGGGGGGGGTGAGGCTTTTCATTTGACGAAACAGGGCAACCTCGTTATGAGCTGCTGAGCACCTGAATCACACATCGCTGGGGACTCTGACAAAGCAGGAAACACAGAACACTAGAGCTGGCAGGGCCCTCGAGAGGCATCGCGTCCAGTCCCCTGCCCTCGCGGCAGGACTAAGCACCGTCTGGATCATCCCTGGCAGGTGTCTGTCTAACCTGCCCTTCACTCTCTCCAGGGACGGAGACTCCACAGCCCCCCTAGGCCACTTATTCCAGGGTTTAACGACCCCGACAGGCCGGATGTTTTCCTAATGTCCAACTTAACCCTCCCTCGCTGCAGTTTCAGCCCAGTGAGAGTGGCTTTTGGAGATTTTTCTTCCTGAGACTTGTACTTAATTCCCCATGGCAGGTGCAGCGCTGACTCTTCTACCAGTTCAAGAGTTTGTATCCTCTAGCTCAGAAACAAAAATAGCAGCTGGGAAATTGCTCTCAGCATGAAGTTGGAGCATGAGCCCTGCAGACATGCTCCCTGCCCTAGGATCACTCGCCGGGATGGCAGATGCTGCCTGCCCGTTGTTCATTGGGGGTGCAGGTGGGAGAGCTGCTGTCAAAGGCGCCCATTTCAAAAAGAGCAGACTCCCCTGTGGTCCATGTGGGGTATTCGGTCGCTTCTGGCGAGGCGGGCCTGTTGGAACACACCAACATGTCTGTTCACTCGTAAGGCCCCAGGACGGCGTTGGCTCTAGTTGCATTGTGGCAGGGATCTCTGCTGGCTGAGTCCGCCTGCAGTGGTTTCCGGAAAGGGAGTTAGCGCAGGGCACGCGGCCCAGTGGCACTTGGCATGAAGGCATTTCCCGTGCTCCCCTGCTGGGCTTGCGATTCCCACTGTGCGTGAGTCTTTCTGTGACACGTGGCTGTCTCTCTCCCCGCCGCAGGGTGACAAAAGAAGTGGACGCTGCCTCCAAAGAAGCCAAATCCTTTCTGAAGCAGCAAGAAAAGGAGACCCAGCCAGTGACTCCTGCTTCCCTTCCGACAGTCTCTGGGTGAGTGCACGGGCTGTGCGCCCGGGGGGTGCCTGGGATCGTGGGGAGGAGGGAGTGCCACGTGATGAGTAAGGCCAGAGCTTGGCATTGATCTCAGTGGGAGCAGGACTGGAGGCGTGATTCGGAGAGGTGCTGAGCACGCGTCGTTCTGGTACGTCCCCTCGGCCCAACGCATGTGGCCCCCTCCCCTGGCTGAGGTAGAATGTTGCTCCGGGTGTTGGTGCTGCTCAGGCTTGAGTAGCAAATCCTGGGGTGACCCCAGTCTCGTTGAAGGTCGGGAGGGGCTGTCAGATGCACCCTGTGGCTCTGTGACACTCGTTCTATCACAGGGCATGCCTCGCTGCCGCAGCGCCTCCTGCTGGTCCCCTGGGGAATTAGCTCCGTCCTCAGCAGGATGCCCCCTTCTGGCCAGTGTCTCACCCGTTGTTGCTCTGGACCCGCGATGCTCCCAGAACCACAATGTCCTGGTCAGGATGCTGCTGTCTGGCAGTGCCCCCACACTGGTCCCTCCCGGGTGGGTTTTGGCAGCCCCCAGCCTCGTGCTTGTCACTGTGGCCAACTGCAGAAGGGGACCCGGAAATGCCCACCACTCTGAGTGCCAGCCCAGGGTTCTCTGGCAGCAGCCTTGTCCTGCTCTCCTGTACTCCCCTTCACTGCCTTCTCTTCCCTGGGCCACTTCCTCTGTGATCCTTGCACCCTCCTGGCCCTGGTAGTCTCTCTGCCTAGTTCCACTTGGGAACCATTCCTGTACCCTCTCTGGTCAGGACCCAACTGCCTTCTGCTCTGCTGAGCTGCTCCTTATATATGCAGGGCTGCCCCAGCAAGCAGCCGTCTGATTGGCTTCTTAAAAACCTCTCTGATTGGTCAATTCTGTGCATGCTCCGTCTAGCCTTCTTTAACCCCTTCTGGCCTGAGAGGGGCAGAGGCCCCACTATAGTCCTTACCCATGACTTGCAAATCTCAGGGCAACCTTCTTACCTAGCCAGAGCACAAACGAGGTGCCGCCACGTTCTAGTGTGTGTTTTTAGGCCTGCACCATCTCTGCATTTGACGAGACCTAAAATGGGGTTGATGGGCATGTGGATCGAACGAGAGCCACTAAATGGTTACTCCAGCTTCTGAAGGCGAGGTTGGAAGGATGCGGTGGGAGTTAGTGCCAACGTTAACGGGTACTGCATGGGGTTTTCAGCATCTGCGGCCGGGCTGGCCCTCGGCAGCGATCTGTCTGGGCGTTGTCTCGCCTGTTAGCTAAACTGGGGAAATGTGAACACACGGCAGTGAGGCTCCCTGGGTCTGCCCGCTCCTTAGAGGCATGAAAGCGTCAGTAATCTAAGACCGAGGCTGGGCGGAGCCTGCATGTTGCGTAAGGCAGGCACAGCAGGGATACCTCCGTAGCGAGGAGTCTGGGGACACCTTAGAGACCAATGGACTTCTTGGGGCATCGGCTTTCGTGGGTAAAACCCACTTCGTCAGTTGCATGGGAGGAGGGGGGCTGTTGTGTGTGACATGACAACAGCAGAAAGAGGGGGCTTGTGCCAGTGAGGCTAATGAAATCGGGGTGGAAGTGTCTCATTCCCAGCAGTTGATTGGGACATGGCTATCCAGCGAGAGGGAGTGGCCTTTGTAACCAGGCTTATCCACACACACGCCCGTGGCTGGAACGGGAGCTGCTGTCCGGAGGTACCAGGCTCACGTGGGCCCTGTTTGTCCGCTGCTAACATAAGCACTGCACCAGGGGGCCTGGATTTGTGCCGCCTGTAGCACCTCCTCATGGTCCCCCGAGGGCCAAGAAAGGCCACACAAGTCCACTGGCCGTACCGCACCGTGTGGCTCAGTTACTGCAGCACCAAGGAACCTGAGCATGCCCCTCCCTCCCCCCACTGCGTGAGTAACGAGGGCACGCTTTTAAAACAGCATGCTTCCACCGTGAGCGAAAGGGCCCCATTGCCTTTCGCTAGCCCCCCCGCCAGGCTGTGTACAGAGGCCGGAACCAGGCTGATGCCCTCTGAAGGGCCTGCCTGGGAGTCTGAGCTGCGTTGGGTGGCCTGGGGCGAGAGGAGGCATGGCACGAGTGATCTGGTGTTACTCACGGACCAGCCGTTGGTGGCACAGCCGAGCGGTCTGACGCCAACATGGCTGGCACGTGTGCCCCACAGCCCGCCCCGCCCTGCAGCCTGCTGTCGCCATGGCAAGCGCAGGACATTGGGCGGTGGCATGTGGTTCCCTGTCTGGAACCAGCTCCAGGGGAACCCAGCCTGAAGTGCTCGACTGTTGCAGAGTCAATCTGCGTGAGCCGCGTCCAGGCCCAGCATGCACTGCTACTGTAGCCTCGCGTCCTGGTGTGCGAAGCAGCTTCCCTTGTACCTGTCCCTGGGACAGTCCATCGTAGAGTGTATGCTCCGCCTCCCCTTGGGACGCGCCCCGGAATTCCACTCCCCGTTTGGAGCCCAGGCAGTGAACGGCCAGGCAAATCGCTCGCTAGCCGGCCGGCTTCGTGGCTAAGCCGGAGTAAGACACCTCTATGTGGCCTCGCGTCCTGGTGTGCGAAGCAGCTTCCCTTGTACCTGTCCCTGGGACAGTCCATCGTAGAGTGTATGCTCCGCCTCCCCTTGGGACGCGCCCCGGAATTCCACTCCCCGTTTGGAGCCCAGGCAGTGAACGGCCAGGCAAATCGCTCGCTAGCCGGCCGGCTTCGTGGCTAAGCCGGAGTAAGACACCTCTATGTGCACAGTTCGGGCAGTTTCCAGCCGCTGAGCCACGCCAGGGCCTGGGCCCTGGCCTGTG